GCAATATAAAATTATCTTATGAGGATATAATTAATTTTTTGCAAGATAAAATCATCTTATCAAGATAATAGTATGTTTATTTGTTTTTGGTCTTACCGATTTGATTCGACTCGACTCGATTCGATCAACCAACTAATCGGCTACGCGAAAAAGAGACAACAATAGATGCGATACATAAATAACGAATGAAAATCAAACTCACAAAATAGTGAGAGAGAGAAATGGAAAAACAACACGTGACTAAAGGCACGTGAGCTAAAAGGGTAAAACAGAGAATATTATACATATATAGTATATATGTAATATTCTATATCTATATATAATACAAACAGATACGCATATATGTATTTATACATATATATACCGTAATCACGTGACCGAAGTCAGTAACACCGCCGCGATCGCGCGGCCGAGGTCAGTGACCCCGATTCGATTCGGCTCGATCAACCAACTAACCAATCGGCAACGCGGAAAAGAGGCAACAATAGGTGCGATATATTCGACTCCAAACGTGCACTTCTCGGTCCAAATGCTTTTTTTAATATAGGATATAAACATGTATATTTATAAAAACAAAGATACGACAAGCATTGTGTATTTTCTGCTACTATCAATTAAAGAGATAAATTATAATTTGTATTGAAATTAAATGAGAACGGAGACATGTGACCAAAATGTAATCGCGAGTAGTCGAGAATTAATAGCGCACTCGGATACGTGGTTTCAATCTAGAATGCAGCTCTTTCCTGATGCACGTCTACACGTAAAATAATAGGATACGTCAAGCGCCGTTTATTTTACTCTAATGAGAGTAATTTTCTAAGCAAAAACCCAGGCCCTTAAGATTGCGATCGCACACCTGTTAGCGTCTCACTGACATCGACAATAATCAAATAAAAGAAACAACAACGAGATAAGATGGCCGGCACGAAATATTATCGTTGCCAAGTCGCGGCTCGTTTTGTACGTACGTCGCGCGTTGTGTGACTCAAGATTGCCCGACGATTAGAGCACACGACAGAGGCTTTAATTTAATCCTCCGAGTGTCTCGGGTCGCGAGAGTCGTAAAGGAAAACCGGTTGACTTGGAATTTGCATATAGGAAAGCCCGCGCAAGTGCTCCAGTGCAATGCACGCGAGCGACGCGACGCACGTCCGCGCCTTTGATCTTTTTTTTTCTCATTCGCGGTCTCGTCGAGACGCGAGACGAAAGTGTCTCTTTTTCTTTCTCTTCTTGCGCGGCCGCGTTACATTTTCTTTTCAAGTGACAATTCCGCGTCCAAAACGGGAATTCCGTGCTAATCGACATGCAGTAACCGCGCGTGCATACTTGCGCTACTTCACGCGACGGTTGAAGCAGGTCGTGTCGTCGCAGTTTCCACGGATGACGCGTGTCTCCAAGAGAGCGACACGCGACAAGGAAAATTCACAAGCGCGAAGTATATAGGAAGCGCGACTATTCGCTGAATATAAAATCACCAGGGTATAGCCGACCTTCGTCGATCATCCCAAACGGCCTACATTACAATGGAGTCATCCTGCTTGGCAATTGCAATTGATCTAGTCGTGCCACGTTCGACGGTGTCGAACACGCATGTGTCGCATGAAGATCGTTGAATGTAAGAGCGCGGAACGGAGACTAACAATTATTTACAATAAAGCTTCAACAACGCGTTGCGAATCGATTCTACGCGCGATAGTATCATCTTCGTTCTTGTACGTTCTCTTTTCCGAATACATTAGTATATTTCCAATAATAAATCATTAAACGACACTAGAAACTTGTTAAGTTTTTACTTGCTGGCTCTCTGAATGTTGTGCCAACAATTTTATTCATATATAAGTTATATAATATCTATTGTATTACGGTAATATATTCTATGAATTATATAATGTTCTTATATTTTTGTAATAATTACGTGTTAGAAAAAAATAATAATTATGATTACAATAATTATATATTATTTGTATTATATATATAACAAATTAAATTTTATTAGAATAAATTTATGTGATATGATATTTTTTATTCACATATAAAATTGTACACTTTTGTGTACAATTTTTATTTACACGTGATATACTGATATCGTGAATAAAGCGCGCAGTTTTGTTGTCGCAGCAATAGAAGTGATATGAATGCACATGAAAATCTCTCAGGAAGTACTTGAAAAGTACACGTACGCAGCGCGCGACCCAGTAAACTAGAATACTATTTCAATACACACGCAACGAGATTACGTGTGCGGGTGCGCGCGCGCGCGCGTGTGTGTGTGCGTATACTCTTGTTCGTACTTATTATACTTATCTTCCCTTCTTTGGCTCAATCAAGCGGAAAAGGGGTGGTGATCACCTGCGACACGCTGTGATTGAGAGATTGTTGCAGCATGAAAAAGAAGTGGCATTGTCTCTCTCCAATGTTGATCTTCAACAAATTGTGTAAATAAGAAGTTAAATAAAATTTATTGTCTGTTAACATACGATAAACCGGCGCGCCAGAAATACGCGCGTCTACAAAATCGATGCGCATTTTGTTTTTATCTGAAGTTTAGAAAATACATATCTCGACGAGAATGAAAGTTGCGGATCGTTCCCGTACGTGTGATTACACTTCGTGAAAGATTAGGTAGTAGACGCAACCTGTTACCCGACGCAACTCGTTTCGCGCAGCCTCATCAAGGTAGACCGGTAGAAATGGCGTAAAATGGAAAGTGACGTAATTTTAAAGTCTCTCCCTTGGATGCTGTCACGCGAGCGGGCGAAGACGCGAATAGCTTGGCCTCTCGCGCCCGTCATCACTTGTAGGAAAATGCGCTTCCCCACGCGAGACCGTGAGGGTCGAATGGTGATCCTGACCTTTTCTCCAGGATGCGTCAACACTCCGTCAAGGCTCGCGCGCGTTGCGAAAAACAAGTTGGCGTTAAGAAAGAAGAAGAAAAAAAAGAGGAAGGAAGAAGGACCGGACGATCTCTGTTGTCTCTTGTAGTCTTTGATGGAATATCTAATTACACAAAATTGCTTAATCACCACCGTGATTTTCTCAAATATGAGGAATTATATACACTGATGACGGTAATATCGACCGGCTGTTACTGCTACGCGCCGATTTTCCACGACCGAATCTTTCAGGGAACGTATTTGTTCTGACGCCGATGTAAAGCTTCGCACGAACAGAAAAAAGAACTCGAAGTGTCTTCTTCTCGCTATCGTGTACGTTGAAATTGCGTTTCGCGCATCCAATTCTCTCAGCTAATAATAGCAAATACAAATAGCGAGTCGTATTTCAAATTTATTTCCCCGCGCGTTCCGGATGGTATTATCTGAGTTATGTTCTTCGCGATAACGCATTTACACAGAAACGATTCCCGTTTGACCCCGCGCGCGCGCGCGCGCGCAAACGAACGAGCGCAGATCTCGCGCGCGCCATAAAGCCAGGAATTACCATTTCCTCGGCTCAGTCGTTCATATTTGTAGAAGATATTAACATTTTCTTGTTTCCGTTTTTATTTATTTATTTTTTTTTGCATGTATCGCAGGAAGGCTTATCGGGGGCGTAATTTGCATCGGAAATGTTTCGCGCGACACGCTCACCCGCTTATAACGGCTTACTTGCGCGACGCGGCTTAATTAAATTATCTTGCGAGACAGGATCGGTGACACACGTATATATATATATATATGTATATATCGGAACGACTGAAACGTACAAGCATAATTTTTCTGCAAAAACGTCGAGAGAGATGTGACACTTTTGGTAACGAAGACATAAAAAAAACACACATCGACCGTTAAAGACATCTCGTAATAAATAATGAACAGATGTCACCACGTGTATCACAAAACAGTTAATCAGCTGGGCGGCGTGTATGCGTAATGAGACAAGCACATGAGAGATTCCAGAAGATTAAGTCCAACGGAGGCGAGAAAAAAAGCGACACGGTTAACGGTAGCTCGCGGAGAGATTGGATACTCTTGTAAAGCGAGCTTTAACAGCGTGAATCCTCCCGATGAGTGATGAGTGAGAAGATGATCCTTTGTCGTGTTCAATGTCAATCTCGGTTGCGTCTATGCGGAGTTGTCCTGTCTCGTAAGAGGCTTTCGACTCATTACGAAAACGATTTCCATTTCATCAAAAACGTTTGCTTCGTTATTGCGAGAAGAAACGAGACCTGTCTCGCGTCCGGTGTGTCATCGTTTTACGAGAAGATTTTATTAATAACGGATGTTAGAGCGAGATGAAAGCACTTGTTTGTTTTGCTTGGCAAATGCAATCTGTGTTTTCAGATAAATTGGTAAAATGTGTAATACATTATGTATACATGGTATTTATAAAGAGAGATGGAAATTGGAGATAAATTGATATGCAAGGTAATGTCTTCTATCATTGTGAAAGCACGTTCATCATACAGATGGCTATCAGTGATTAATAGGATCTTTTTTGCCAAAGATCGATCGATCATGACCTTCGATCTTCTTCAAAGCGCGCTGATGATCCTTAAATTGATTGCACAATCTCCGATTAGGAAGGAGCAACTCGAGATCTCCGATTCTCGAGCGCTACGAAATGGATCGCGATATAAGCAATAATTAACATTATTGCAAATTCCTGTGCCACTTTCCTGTTGCATGCGCATTTAAAATGCTAAAACGTATTGCTTAAAAAAAAAATTTATTGAAAAAGAAAAAGATAATAACAAGTTTCGCGCGTACGCGTTTAAAACAACATTGCTCTCGGCGGAAAACACGCCGAGATGAATCGCGCGAAACCCATCATCATTATCGGCGCGAGGAGAGGAGTCGAGCCGATAAGTTGCGTTCGAGTTCGGCACGAATTGCCGAAAGTTAAAAGACTTCGTCCGCGGGCTTTTTGCTTCGATATTAACGGAACGGCGTTCCTGAATCCGGAGTCGTTAATCGATGTTAACCCCGGAGGGCCTTCTTCGAGCAGCACACAAGAGAATCGGAGGGGTAGGGGACTAGTACATATAAAGGAGAGAGCCTCGTGCTCCGGGGGCCCAGTACTGTTCAAAGATGCAGGCTGCTGGGATGTTGCGTGGTACCAGGGCCATCTCCCTTCTGGTGCTCCTGGTGCCTCTCATTGATTACGCTTGTGAGTAAGATTCAAAATTCCCGCCCGGAATTTTGCGTCTACGGTACTGCGATTGAGTGAAGAAAACCAGTGTTGTGCAGTGAAGATTGTAGTTAAAAATTATTTTTATAGTGCGTCACATTTTGAACAGACAACATCGCTGAAAGACACAAGACAAGACATAAAAAAAATACTAAACTTGATATAAAGTAGATAATAAATGATAAAACATCACTCATTACGAGAGATTATGTATGTCTTGTGTATATTTAAATTGCAGATATTACAAGGCAAATTAATCAAACGTTTAAGATATCTATAATGTTTTATGTACATGCCAGTTTAAGTATAAAATATTTTAATAAAATCAGAATTTCTCAAAAGAACGAAACAAGACATATATTAATTTTAATAAACTTCAAGTGGATTGAAAATTTCAACTCGTTTTAATTTTCAACAGTTCATTTACCGAGATAGCGTCAAAATTAAATAAGAAAATGTGTGTGTAAACTAATTATTTAGACTTATTCAAATAAAAACTAATTAAATAGAAAAAAATTACGAAAACCTATTATATCGTTAAGAAGATAAAAGTGCTTATACTTCAAATTAGCGGTTGCTGCTTGCAATCAATATATATATTATATAATATACAATATACGGTGGGATCTGAGTGCTCACACGCATACACACACACACACATACTCATATACACACCCAACTAATTCACGCTTCATCTAGCTAATCCCTATGCACGCGATTTAAATATCCGCATTGCTATCATAGGCAATAAGCTCGCCGTGCCAAGTGCGCATTTCCAACGCAATCCGTCCGTGTTAAAACACGTATAGTTTCTCACCGCCTGTTCTCAACCAGCGCATGTCCGATTTCTTCTAGATTCGAGCCCCCTTCAGTACCTACCCAACATCCCCGGATACATTCCCGTTTACGTAAGATATGGAGATGAACCGCTAGAGGAAATAAATCCCGAACTGGCCGAAGCTTTCGGAGAAACATCCAGTTCGGTTAAGGTAATTGATAATAATTTGAGAAATGTCTGTTTGAAAAAAAAAGGAAATCACACGAACAAAAAAAGAAAAATATCAACTCTTTAAGTTAAAAAACTTAACATATGTGTACGTAAATCGCAATGCAATTAATATATTTTTTTAATCATTCTGTCACACGACAGAGTTTGCAGAAAATAGATCGCACGCTCGCGCACGAGACCGACAACTTCAAAGATGATGATTTAAACGTGTTTTTGGAGGAGTCGAAGAGCAAGCACGCTTATCCGTTGCACGTTAGAGAAGCGGAAAGCCGTTCGTTCGCCAACGTCGATAGTGACGACTCTAACAAGCCAAAGCTTCTAACTATCTATACATTACCCGATGATAAAGAGAGCAGACCGCGCAGACGCAATCGAGAAAGAAACCGGATGAAAAGTTGGAAGCCCCCCGCGTTCAAGGTATATAATTAAATAATAATTTTGCAAATGATTTCGAAAACAAAAAATTTACAAAGCAATTCTGGCAAGAAATGCAAGTACAAGAGCAGAGGAATTTTCAAAGGAATTCTGAAAAGTTGAATACACACACAAATAATCAAGTAATGTTTGTTGCATCATGCGGATAAAGCTACATTGATGATTCAATAAATGCTCATCGCTTTGTAATTTTTTTACTATTAAAAATAAAGATTGCTTCACGTTGAATTGTGATCCACGAAGCGCGAATATTTTTTTCCGCGGAAAGAAATAATTGCTGATTTGAATATATTGCTTTTTCGATTTCTGCACATTTATCTCGTTTGACGTACGCGTAATCTGGCAGATGAATCTCTGAGTCACCTGATGTCGTCGTCTATGTCGTTTTATCGGCGACGCATTCATTCTTTATTTACGCATAATCAAGCCGATCCGCGGTAATTACAATGCGTAAAATAACAGCTTTAAGCTTATTGTTTATGTGTGTACGCGCGAACTATGAAGCGTGTAGTTTCGATCGGATTAGTCGTTTGATTTAACCTCCGCAACACAACTCCCTCCCGGGAGAGAGGGAGGGCTTTGAATAAGATATATAAAAGATAAAACCAGTTTGGAAGATATATAAGATATATACACGCGCTTGTAGGAAAACTTTTACGTGCGTCAATTCTCTTAATCAATATTCATAATGTAAATTATTAATATATCTATCTTATCATTTTTTTAATAACACAAGATTACACGTGTACTAGTTTGTCTTTTTTTTAGACACGAACTTTACACGCACGCATACGCGTGAAAAATTACTTTATAGGTCAGTCCGCTCTCGGATGAGGAAAAGGAGGAGTTGAAAAAGCTGGCGATCGAAGTCGAAGAGGAAGAAACCAAACCCAACGAGTTCTACTTTCCAAATTTTAAGAACGGCTCACCTGCACCGTCTGACAAAGCGCACAGTCGGCACAAAACGCTCGACTTTCTCGTGCCGTTAAAAGTGCAGAGTCCGTTCGACGACGATTCCTTGGCGAATCTGCCGGATATTCCGCAAATCACAGATCCGCCCCAATCCTCAGACGATGTCGCCACATCCGAAGATGATAAACAGGAACCGCCTGTCAAGCAACAACGTCCGTCCTCACTTTTATCCAATGTAGATAAAATGTCGCCCGTCGATCCGTTAGAAGACAGCAAACTCGACGAAGCTAACAGATTCGAATTCGGCGAAGAGAACCCATTGAGCAACGAAGCGAATCTGCCGAAAATTGATCAAACCGCGGAAAAACAACTTACAAAGAAAGTGCCAGAAATTTCCGACGACACCAATGACGTAACGAAATCTAACGATTGCGATACAGTTTCGTCTAAATCCAATAAAAAGGATTTTCCTGTTAAAGTGCAACGACCGGATTCAATTTTGTCGAATGTAGATAAACTTTCACCCGTCGATTTGCCAGACGAAAGCGAAAGTACACAGAATGAGGCGAGAAATTCTACGGAGTTGAGCGACGAAATGATAGCGGATTCCTGAAAATTAATTTTAGAACACAATTCTTTCGTAACTTATTTGTGTGTAGTTATATAATATCGCAAAGTTCCAAGTAGAAGCCATTTGCGATAACAAAATAAAAACATTTCTATTCATTTCAGTTTGCATTGTTTTGTCAAGATGTTCACGCTATTGTGGGGAAACGCAATGAAGTTCTCCCGATGTCTGCTTCTACGTTCGAGTTTGTATAGTTCAATATTGTAAATTATATGTTGACAAGATATATACGTTATTGTGTAAAGTTACTTCGGAACATTTTTAAAATAAAGAACTTTCTTCGACGCAGTTCCAATAGGTTCGCTTCCCGATATCTCGCTTTTTGCCAACAATATTTTTTCTTAGAGATAAAGATCCAATTCTTTATACATCTTTTAAAATATCTAACAGCCAGTATTTTTTAAATTAAAATACTTCAAAGAGTACAGTAAGATAAATAAAATATGTTTTGCCTATATTTTTTCACATGTTATATAATTTGGTATATACGTACAAAATTTATTTGCTAATTGATACATACGGTTGTCTAACATTCTAATTTGAATAAGACGGCAACTCCTCACTTCTCATCACGTGACACTTTTTAGTTCAATGTTTTTGAAAGCAGAGTGCGCGCATCGTGGCGGTATTGACTTATCTTGTAAAGGAGAGAATACGAGCAATTATACTTTCTTCTTTACTTTTTGCGTCTGTGTGATTAGTATCAAGAAGAAAAAGAAAAAGATAATAGAAAAAAAAAAATAAATACAAAAGAAAAAGAGAAACAAGTGCAATGATAGGACAAACTGGACTAGTACAAGTTGTACTATACTCAAGTGCTGAACGATGTAGTACTTTTCTCATTTGAAAATATACGGTTGACACAGCTTGACGATCGTGCATCATAATACATAACAATTGTTATTTATATACTTCTTTCGTGTGACATTGTGCGTTCCTTGATCGTATAATTAGATAATAAAAGATAGTAGTATGATATAATAGTAAGAAAAATAGTAATAAGATATAGTATGTAGTTTTCAAGGATACATGACGGAGTTAACGTAACAAAATATACTTTTGAACACACAGCTATTTTTGTTCGAACCTCTTTAGCTTAATGTAAATTATCATAAATGTCTTGTTAAGAAGAGAAATATTCTATGTAAATTGTGTTATTTACATTGTACAAGTGAGATATAACAGTGATGCGGTGTGATATAACCTCAAAGCTATATATCTGTAATATGTAAATATTTGGTTCCTGTTTTTAGCGTATCGTGATCTACACGATATAACTTAAACATGTCCGGACAACAACATTCTTATTTATCTGGATTTCCCAATGTACAGCAGTCTGCCATGCGTACACCACAAACGTTTGGCGGACAAATGGTTCCTAATTTAATATCTCATTCAACTGCACTTCAGCAGGGACCGCAGCAAGGAAGTAAATATATTTCAAAATAGTTTTAGGATTGCTTATATTTTCATAAATATAATCTTGTATTGCATATAATTTTCTTGTTAGTAACATATAATAAAAAATACGTACGTGTACATATTGTGTGTGTGTGTGTATATATAGGCTAGAATGATATACAATCTGTCTTTATTAAGGCATCCATCCTGAGAATTGAGACTCTTGAAATTTCGAGAGCTTCGAATGTTTTTGTTTACTTTTGATACAAAGACTTGTAAAGGATGGTTCCGGGAATTACACGAGACTATTTCCTTCTTTCTTATTGAAATATAACACGAGCACGAAACATATAATACACTATTTTACCGTTATAAAGTACAAATTGTATTGAATTTGAGTAATTTATAAAGTGACAACACCACTATTCCGTCAGTTTGATGCTTGGAGGAGTTGGCTTAAGGAGATCCATTTATGCGGACAATGTTGTAAATAAAACGTTCACGAAACATCGGTATAAGAATGACATTAACATTCAAACCTGAAAAACATCTTCGAATATTAATATAATACACCGCGGAAGTACCAATATCACACAAATTAATATTTCTAATAAAATAATAATTAATACAAAGGAGATAAGAAGTTTTATAAGGGATAAAATAAAACCACGGAAATCAAGATAAATGTTTTTTTTTATTTCAGATATGGTGAGCTCTCCAGAATATATGAGTGTTGGTAATGTCGGTCCTAATGCGATGGTAATGCCCAACTCTCAACAAATCTTAGCACAACAACAACAACAACAGCATTCTATCACAATGCAACAACAGATGCAGCAGATGCAACAGCAACAGTTGCAACTGCAGCAGCAGCAACAAGCCGCGATGGTTCAACAGAATACTCAAAATAGCAATCAAGTCACAACACCACAGACTCCGGTCCCACCTACTCAGCCGCCACGGCAGCAGCAGCAAAATAAGGATTTGAACACTGCCAGTCTATGTAAATTTGGACAAGAGACAGTGCAAGAAATCGTCAGTCGTACTTTAGAACTCTTTCAAATTCTCAAAGCGATTACACCACCAAACGGTACTTTTTTTTATGGCTATGACAAAAGCATCTCAAATATCTTCGTGTTTTTGAATACGTTATTTATAAATTTAGGAACGGTGCAAGGAACAAAGGCTGCAAATGAGAAGAAGGATAAAGTCTACGATCAGTTAAGAACGATAAAACTGATGTTCGCACGATTGAGAATGATATATGAAAAATCCAATGAGAATTGCCAACTGCAAGGTATGGAATACACGCACATAGAAAGTTTAATTCCACTGAAGGAGGAATGGGACATGAAATCTGATGAGAAAAAAACTTCGGAAGCTTACAGACTTATTTTCGAAGAGAGGAAAGAACTTGTGGATGTAAGGAATAAAAAACAATGTACATTAAGAAGCGTAACACACATTTGCGAATTGCGTTGCAAATTCTAATAAACATTTCTTTTCATTTCAGCAAGTTACATCGAGAAATAGACACATTAAAGAAATAATTGATCACTTAAGACGTATTATATCGGAAATAAATACGATGTTACATATGCGTCGATCTTAGATCTCTATATTTCCACAAAAGTATGTTATTTACATGTAATTTCGAAGACACCTCTTTATTTTTTAACAATAAAATATAATTCGTTATTGTGAGCCTCAAGTGTTGTGATTCTATTTCTTAAGTAGTGTTTTCTTTTAAAACATCAACAACAATGTCGTCAATATCTAAGTAGATAATATCGCTGCTTCGAAGAATGGCTTGTGGAATTTTTCCCATTGGCGTTTCTAAACTTTTTACAAAAATCTCTGAACAATCCACGTCACAACCTTTGAATTCACCTGATACGTGCGTATTTTCGTGTAAATAAAATTTTGTTTGCTTACCTATTTGAATAAATAATATTTAAATATCAGTATATAGTGCAGTATAGTTGTTTAAAACCAATTTCATCATCTTCGATTTAATTTTATTGAAAATGTCAGAATCTCGCATTAAAAAAAAAAAAAACAAATGTTCCTTCTGCATTATTAAATTTCATTTCAAATTACGAATTGTGTAGCGCTTATACCTACAAACAAAAGGTTAAATTTTTTCTTACCAACAATGCCAGTAACAACACGTAGAAACCGTTCGCGCAAAAATGCCCGTGCTCGTTGCTTCTCCAGTGTTGCAACTTCTAAATCGGTCGTATCTATGTTTGAGATCACGTCAGTCTCTTGTTCAGTCATTTTTTAAAACAGAAACGATTCGAGTTCTTTGACTTCGACTGACACCACGAGACTCGACTTAACAATTACAACACGTGAGACATGCGCGCGCAACCAAACGATTACTCGCGCCATATTTGAATTCTCTCGGCTTGATGGTCGATAATACTTGTAAAAATTAAAAAAAAACTGTACCTTTTAAAACCAAGTTTTTAATTGTTGCATTGCAACAAAGTAAAAGTTAATACGTGCTCGGACAATATTTAAATGGAAACTGTACTAAAAGCATTTGTAAAATTGCTTCTTGTAATATGAAAGTTTTGAAAACCGGTCGAACAATAACAAAGTAATCTTAATTGGATGTCCTATCGATAGCCCACATTTCCTATGGAAAATATCTCAATTAGTGAAGAAGCTTATAGAGAATAGAGATAATGTAGATCACCGCGCACTTATGTCGCATACTTTTAACGATTAATCTAACAAACACACTTTCTCGAGACCAAACATGAGGGCGACCCGCACCTTATTTTTAATTTCGCTTTAGTGTCTACGTCGTGTCGCCTCATTTACGTTCCGATCACGACGCGGTAACGATGGGTTCCCACATTATTTTCTTAATAGCCGTCATCGTATATTGCAGCGGTACAGAGAGAGAATTTTATATAACAATTTACTGTGTGATACATCACGTATATATTTCAATACTCTGCAGCTTACCCGATTTCTTTCCCGATTTTGACGAATCTTCTTGTGTTGCAGAGATACACAGTAACGCTCTTCCGACTTCCGTCGCCAAACCCGAAGACACCGTTCTCGCGGAGACACGCGACAGTCAGGTAACCGAAAAGAGATTTTTGTGGGAAAATCTCGATCCGTCATCGCGACGCCAACCGATAAAAAAACCTACGAAGATAGAAGAATCGAACAGTCCGAATAACGCGAGCGGTGAAATGCGCTCGAGAAAGTCACGATTTCTGAACAGTCTGGCCTTCCTGGCTGGTCTCAGCTTCGGAGGACTGGCCACCGCGGCATCGTCCACCGTGAAATCCATCGCCAAGCTTCCGTCTCAAGCGTCTTTGAGTTTGAATCTAAACGACGCCAAAACCTCGCCTTACATCGCCGCTTATTACAGTCCCGTGCTACCTTATCCCTTTATCTATCCCAGTTCTTTTAAAATCGTGCCGGTGATCGATCCCACGAGGCCCCAAGCGAATTTGCCCAACGATCTAACGGCGCAAGTGATCAGTGTATTCGATCAACAGCCGAACGACCTCGCCGGGAGCAATGAGGACTACGCGAATGAGGGAAAAGAACCCGAAAACAGAGCCGACGTTATATCGCAAGCTGAAGCCGATCGGAACGCGGAAGAGAAGGTAAGGATTTAATAGATCTCGCGCGCGCGCTGCGGTGAGCAAATAGAAATCAGAGCAGAAAGCCACGCGACGTTTTATCTCGACGCGCATCTCTCGCTCGGCGATGAGATGCGCGTGCTTTCTCAAAAATCGTCGACATCGACATTTTATTACTCGTGCGCCGATCGAGTCAATTGCACAAATACGAAAAAATAACGAAAATATATAACGGTTAATAAAATACATCAACTATAAATAGACAACGCGTCTTTTGTGTCGAGTGAGTTTATTTGTGTTCATCAATGCCGAGAACATTATCGCGAATGCTCGGACAATAACGTAACTACTTGCGAGACAGCTGTTTTCAAGATAACCGCAAGGCCGCGCGCGCAAGAATCGACGTTAGACGTGTCTGTTCCGTGTATTTATCTGGACCTGTAACGATATTACGAACCTAACTCGTGACAAGATAAATGCGCGTACACGTCGAGAAATATTATTTCATATCTATTCGATCTTTTGATTTATGTTACACTTTTATCGCGTTTATTTCATCAATGCAAGTTGCGTTTTACTTTTTTTCTCAACTTTCATTAGAAAGCGTTCTCCTGATATGTTATTTTGTAAAATCTAATGTTTTATTAAAATCTCTCAAACAGACGATGATACGCGGCTGCAAAGGGAGCCAACGGAAATATGACAGCTCCTCCAAAGGATCGAGCAGAGAACGTGAGAATTTTCACGTGGACGCGGACAGCTCGCGAGCGCTTTTCAATTTTAAAGTCAAGGCGAACATGACCGACGGCAATGCGAATCAGACCGCAAACACAACTACGCCTGCGACAACAAATCTGGTTGGAAACAACTCGCAAAATGTGACCTATTATCCTCCTTACTTTCCTTTCCCGGGATATTTCGGCGGTTATCCGCAAAACGTAAACCACGTGGATCTCACAACGAATCCGAGCGCGTATCACTACGGTTACGACCAGATCAATTATAACCCGTCTCACGAGCAGACTCATTTTTATCACGACGACAGATACAATGTTCATTCATCAAGTTCGCACTTGCCCGGACCGTACTCGTTCGGTCAGACGAACGAATACGTAGACGCGAACTTCGACCGATTGTATCACTCGGAATATCAGTCGCCGACGTATAGCGACGGTTTCCAACCCGTAAAATAAGTTTATCTATCATTTTCATACAAGAAAAAAAAATTAATTCCATTAAATTTTATCGAATACTGCAAAATAGGTCGTGTCTGACGATTCTCTTACCAAGAACCCTTTTGTTGCTCTGTTCAATTATATTAACATCCACACAAGAAACGGTTTAGAATTAATTAATTTCAATGTAAAGGTTGGGGGGATGTGTGTGCGTGTTTACATTTTTATAAGATTGTAATTCTTATTATGTATATTGCTTATATGTTTTTTGAAGTTTCTTATAAATACACGAATGTTTTTATAATTTTCTTATAAATACACGAATGTTTTATAATTTTGTTGTCTCATATTCATTGTCTGTCACATTTGATGCAGCGATTGCGATTCTGTAGTAACGTTACAAATGACACACCTGTAAAAGGCACACATTGCCCATCACATTACGAGAGACTGTCATTTCTCGCACGCGCGGAACATAATGGCGCGATGTTAATTTTTCATCAAGGGCACTAGCGCCCTTGATGACACAAGTCCCGTACAACACGTACGCGAAGAGACGTTCACTTACGTATGTACGTAATCTGCGTGGTGACTTGTTTGGACAATTGCTCGTGGAAGTGACACAGTTGTTCAGGACTGATTTGCGCACGAGCGATCAATACACGTATACATACATAAAAAAGAAATGAAATAATTTCGCTAATAGCATTCTCGAAAATTGCCGCGTTGATCGGCAATTTCTCATTAAGTGGAGGACCGACGACACGGCAATCGGAAATAAACGTCGGATAATAAATAAATGACTGTTCCGTCAGACTCTCTCCTTCTCTCTCTCTCGGCCAATTGGAACGTCGTCGCTTGCTCGCAAGGAAGAAACCTGTTTTATTTTCGGACGAGTTTGGAGGGCTGAGCTCCTCGTCTATTTCGAGAAGGCCGCCACTGCTGCGCTGGTATTGTATCTCTAGAGACTCGCCGGGTACTTTACAGCTTTTGCGAGTAATTTTTCTCAGAGAGCGGAGTTTTGCAAAAATATAAATCACCCCGGCGCTATCGAATCGCCGTGCTAACTGCGTGCGGAGTAGTTCCGCGAGTCAACGTAAATAAAAAGAATCCTCGCCGCGATCTGTACAAAACACCGACATTGTTTTTTTTTTTTCAAAATGTGCGAATGTTACTCGGAAAAATGACATGTAACAGTTGTAAATGTTAATTTATTGTTACATCGGAATAAACCCCCGCGCGCTCTAATAAATTACAAAAATAAACGAGTCGAATGAGACAGGCAAAAAAAAAATATCTATGTGAGCGTATTTTGTAGAGAAAAATCGAGAAGGGAGCGCACACTAATGCAATATGTAAATGCACGTACCCGTATATATTTACGTGTTGGCAATCATCGTTACTTTCGCTCTTTTTGCGCACAAACCTACGTAGTTCGTACGATTTCTTCGATAAGTCGCGCGCGCGGTAACCTTCGCGCGTCGACGAGTATATTCGCAAAACCGCGCTTTTACGAGCTTTAAGTGACCGAGTCAAAATCGCGAAACTCTGACACACACAACGCGCGATTACAGTAATTTTTCTCGATCGTTACACTCTCGTCGTGACGCGCGTGTGCATACGATACGCGAAACGGAACGTTGTCGTCGTGAGTCGTTCACGCGCGAATATGTGGGTGAGACCGATACGATAGGCGGCATTGCGTGCGTGATTGTGCAATAAACACGAGATAGGGAAATGATCGACTTCCTTCGCGGAAGTGTTGAGTTTTCTTTAAAAACGATGACGCCTATCGTTTGCCACGTGGCCGAGCGCGATTTAATGTCCGCATTTCTCCCGGACACACGTCGTAAATAATACAGTTTCGGAGCACATGGCTCTCTCGCGCTCGTACGCGCTCACGACAACGATATCTGCAACGTGTTTTCAACCGAATTACCGCACCAGGTAGGTAATTGAACAAGTCTGTGTTTGCCAGTTGACGCCGCCGTCACGTGATGGCCTTGTAATGCGAGTTTATTCATTGAAATCTGTTTTTTTTTTTTTTTTGTATATACGTCATTCTATAGACTAATTTTCGTGTGTGCGTGTGTGTGTTCCTGTACAGAACATAATATTTACAAAATATTGTTTTCAGTACACATTCAGGTTTAATTGCGTTTTCGGGGTCGAGAACGTATGTTCAAAAATCATGTGGAAGTGATTTCGGACGGGACGACGAAGGTGAATGAGACGTTTGGTGTTATTTTAAAGACCGGGGATCCGCCGATTGATCGCGCCATGTATCTACGAAATCAGACTAGATCGAGTCTCTTTAAATCTAAATATATACCGGGTGTCAGAGTTGAACGCCCTGGGATTTCCGGTCCTTGGCGTGCGCACTTCGCTTTTCCCCCCTTCCCGATCTTTTTTATTTTTTCGTGCTGGCACTTATACGCGTCTCCAGTATCCCCTTCCACCCTCTGCTGCGGGCGACCTCGTTTTTTTTTTTTTTTTTTTTTTTCAACGCGAAACCCAATAGCCCTGTATCCTCTAGGACACTCCAGGACTATTTCCTGCGAGGTTGCGTCGGCCGAGCCGGATGAGAAACCGCAAAATGTAAAGTTCCGTGCACAGTGCCCCGTAGCGACACTCGGAAGGAGTGTCACTATATACGTGTGCATTCAGACTTCTTTTTTTCACACGGCAACGAGCTATTGACTGATTAAGATTTTACTCTGCGTGTAATACATCCAATATCGTTGTCTCATAATATTTACATACATATATTTTGTTTTCACCGCAAAAGAATTTTTTATACAGTGGAAAAACCTGAAAGTTTTTACTGAATGGAATATAATTGGAATATAACTTAGACATTTCTTTTTCTCAAAAAAATGTAAAATTAAAAGTCTCATAAATACACACACAGAGATTTTACAACTTCTAAAAAAATAATTCTCTCTCGTAAAATTTAAAGAGACAACTCTTTTCAAGATTGTCGTCGGGACAGTTTTGTCGACGTCGAAATCAAATATTCTTCGAGATTTGTTTCTTCTTCGGAAGGGAAGCACCTACTCTACACTCGTCGCGGAACATGCGCGCCAATAAAATATCGCCCGAGTCGTACGCACGTGCGTCCACACACAGAAGCGAAACGGTTCGTTCGATGTGGTAAATGCACCACGGTCGGGTAAGAACCCTGGTTTTCATACAGGGGACGACAGAGGAGAGACAGCTGTGGGGCAGCTGGCAGCGCGTGCCACGAACCTATGGGGTCTCTCGTTCGAGCGACGACGATGATATCCTATATGCCATCGCGCACGTAACTAACGGCAGGTTTTCGAACACAATGCGACGTTCCCGACCGTCGTCTATTTCCACGACATCAAAAGAAACGTAGCCGGACAAGTACGAATTATCGCTCGCCTGGTTACTTGCGCCGCCGGGAACTCGTGCAATAAAATTGTTTACGACTAGTCTACGATAGTAATTTCTTTGCGCAATGCCTAGAACAAGTATCGACGAGAATGTCTTATGAATTTTCATAGAGATATTAACATAACTCTTTTTCATATAACTTTTCTTGTTAATGTAATTTCGATTGACGTGATCTCACACTGACGTCTATTTGTTTTTTTTTGCATCAACAAAATTTTATGAGGAAAATATATTTATTATAAATTAACGCAATATAATATATTTAACAGATTTTGTGTTTTAAGCATACAATGATCATAACAAAAGTATTGTTTAACGTGATGAGTTCAATTAAAAAATTCTCAGTGATGTAATTTTGACAAAACAATACAACAAATGTCCCAAATACAGAAGTCCTTTGTATGTTTTACGATTCAAGATAAAAATTCGCTTTCGGTGTACTTTGCGACATGTAAGGCATGTGCGGAAAGGTGGGTTTTCTTCGCGAGGTTTTCACCGGCTCGCGCAAGAAAAAGGATCAGCGAGTTCAAAGCTTTCGGGGGAGCGTTTCAAGCGAACATCTGCCGTCCGTCGTCTGCAACGATAATTCGAACAGCTGATGCTCCTCCGCGAACCGCCTTGCCTGGTGAATCCTGCTAGAGGATGGTTCGCTTTGTTGTCCATTTGTAGGAGAACTTCTTGCAGGACAAAGAAAAGATTTATTTTGGTTTCTTTGCCACGTAACAAAAAATCTGTTCGATTATTTTCATAATAATTGATAAAGAAATTTAAATGTATGGTTTATCTGTTGTGAGATATTTTTTAGAAAAAATATAATAATATAAAAAAAAAGGTTTTAACGTTTTTTACACGTGTGTGTGTTTTTACCTTTTTTTATACGTATAATACCAATTGTTTTTCGGTGACAACTAATGTGTAATACAGTGTCGCGCGTGTGATCTAGTAAATTACTAGAAGTTTCACCAATTGGCACACAATAGTTTCTAGTATGCGTAGAACTGTGTAAACGCGGCGACCTTTGTTGAAAACAGTCTGTCTCTTTAGGTATTCTCGTAATGATTTGACACTTCGTTCGGCAGAACAGAAATTGCAATAAGATTCAAAATCGTACGTTCGATCAGTCAGAAACGGAAAACGCATAGATGTTGCAAATATAATTTTATTACAATTACATAAATAAATCGTCCAATTTTTAATAGAGAAAGAAAATTTATGAAAGAAGAGAACTCGCGTGATTAATTTAGAGTCCTTATCGTACGAACCGCACACACACATGTCCGGGGACAATCGATCAAGTCCGGCAACAAGTCATTACTCCGTATCTCTTGAGAAAGCATCTCTCGCCGTGGAACAACCAGCGCGTCAAAACATCGATCGATCCCACTTTTGAATTTCAGTTCTGGCGGTTTCCCAAGCGCGCTGCGCATGCGCTACCATCAACGTTGATGGTCCGCCAATCCGGGAACTTCGTAGCGAACCAGCTGGCGAACTGGTGCGCCGCAACCAGGGGACTCGAACGTAGTTCAACAAGCAGGTTCGGTGCCTCGGCACGACGAGTCCCCATTGGCACTCGCACGTGGATCGTCGTCAGCGGTGGTTTCGCGCGCGCGTTACGGTCCTCACAGCAGAGTCACCGTTCACGCCGGGTGGCCTTTTCCAACGTAGTCGCATAGAAACCACCCTTAATGTGTACACGTTTTTATTTTTCAAATCAATTGTAACCGTTTTTCCAGAAAGTGCCGGTCTTGTCGTGAGAAACTATCTTGAGAGATTTTTAGTTTTTTTTTGGTGCAATTCTTTTGGTGTACTAATTGGGATTACATCACAATCAATAGTGCAACGTCGGAAAAAAACACAGGACGAAACAAAGATAATTCAGGTGAATAAAAAGTAGAAATCGTTAATTAGTGTTGAAACGTCTTTGTTTTATATAGAATAAACGGAATTTTGTCTGAGATGTTCCATTATTATTAATTATACAGATACCTGACCGCTATTGTGTTCTATCGATATGAAACTAGAAATTTATTACTTTAATATTGAATGTGATATTGAACCACATTTTTTCTTTAGCCCTCAGAAGTGATTATTCTTCAAGTGACTATTCACGTTCCACTTTTCTTCGATCGGTCTATTTTCGATCAACGTTCCGTCTGCCGTTATTTCTTTTGAAAATAGCTCGCTTATATATGTAATGAATGTGTTCGCGATGTGTGTGTGTATATATATATATATATATATATATATATATATGTAATGTATATATATGGTATCTTGCAATTATATGTACATATAGTTGCAAGATAACTCGTAAAACAGTTATCGGTTCGTGCGCCGGTATACGGTCATTTTTAATGCATACATCCTGTATATAAATGTGTTATTGTCTCCCGTATATAAATGTATGAATTTTGGAAAAGCTCAATTAGAAAACATTGATAGCATTGTTATTTAATTGCTATCTTAATTGCTCGTTACGGCATATCGCTTGAAACTTTGGGTTCATAGTTTCGTGAAATTACACAAAATATACAATATGTTAGAATTATCATTATTTCATCATCTTCGCTCTAACTTGCTGAGTCATTTTGCTTCCTTTTTGTCCTTTAAGCTCGGTTCATGTAAATCGTAAGTAAATACAAGTTTTCTCGCAAGAATTTGACTGTTCACATTGGCAGAAGTTGGACCAAACTAGGATTCTACCAATACGTGATTTTCGAAATGCAAAGTGCTTGTGTAAACCGGACTTTGACTATAGAGAAAAACGTGAATAGATTCCATTGGTCCTTCGACACGAAACTAATATTCCGAAAATCCTGCGTCGTATCGCGACAGGATCCTAGAGGTTTTTTTTCTTTTTTTTTGTACTGGCGCACAAGACCGATCACTTTTTTACGACTACCTTGCAGTACTGTAGATGTATAGATGTATGCACATGTATATATATATATATATATATATATATATAAGCTGGCTATTTTATTATTATCATTATTATTATTAGTATTATTATTATTTTCAAAAGAACCGATATTTCCGGTGGAATTATGAAGTGAGGAACGAACAAAACAGGATCGTGCTTCTCTCGAACGTGCAAAATTTATGTACAGCCTGTGGCACAATTACGAGACATCGCAGACTTCTTGAAATGCTCCAAACCAATTTGAGAAAAACAAAATATGCAAAAATGAACATTCGCAAATTTCAATAAGCTAATGCAAATGTGTTTTTATTATACAAAATACAATACTAAGAAAATTGCAGTGCGGTTTTATCTTGCTTTTTAATCGTCACGGGTGATTTCCAAGTGTCACACGTGCAACGCGCAAACGATATATCGATCTCAATCCATTTAAACGACTACACCACGACGAGATAATAATGATCGCGTATGCGGTCACTTTATCCTTGGAAAGTGCATGAAGAGTTTCCGATTATGACGGAAAGGGAAGAGAAAAGGAAAAACACTGTCACTGTTTCGCACGTTTACCCCTGTAATATTAGCGACATCGAGATGCAACCGCGATAAAGTTGGATGCACCACGTCGCGCGCGGACGACGCTTTATAGCGTGCGCTTTCCTGGATCCCCGCTCGTCCGATATGCGATCTATACGATCGGCCGGCACGAAACGGCCGGCGGCGTCTCGACTGAGAAATCCGATTTGTGTGCAACGGACGTGAGCATTCAGCATGCGTGTGGAACCGCGTGGCGCGCAAATTTGCGCGCGCAGGAAATTCTGTTTATGCGAATCCGGAGATGGCGCGTGGCCATCTTGCACACAGTCCGTAAAAACCGTCTGCTTCTTCTCTCAGCTGTCCTTTCCTCTTACCTCCCTGTCCTCTTCCCCGTTCAACGGCCTGATCGTGTCGACGGCGACAAAGGGCCGTCACGACGACCGGGGCACGTGGTTCTTCGATGTTTATTAATAAACCTCGAGACGGTTGGCTGACGATTTTGTCGAGCCAGAGCGTTTAGTAACGGGCGCAGGTGATAAGCGCTCCTTGAAAGACTACTCGGAATGGTAAGGTAATTGTTCCAATAAAACTCTGAATATACTTATTAAAGATTATACACTTATTGAACGAAATATTTATATGTGTAAAAATCTAGGAGCTAAAGTAAAACCTAAAATATTTGATTATGTGTAAAAATCTAGGAGCTAAAGTAAAACCTAAAATATTTGAAAATATCTTAAAAAATATTTAAAAGAAATTTGAAAAATTTTTACGTTTAATATTTGCATATCTATAATAATTATTTATTGAACAAATATTGATCATTGAAAGTCTTTGATTATTGGAACAGTTATCTTATTCGTGGTCCGTGGACGATGATAGAGATATTCTTTTCCTTGTTTTTTTTTCTCCCTCTCTCTCTCTTTCTCTCTCTCTCTCTCTCTCTCTCTCTCTCTCTCATTACGTGTATCCATGTGACATAGTAAATTAAACGTAATGATCACGCAGAATCGTGGAAAGTTATAAAGTCTTCAAGATTTTAGATAGGAATATAAAGGTCAAGATTTGCAAGATTTGAAAGAGTTGTGCATAATTTATATTCATGTTTTAAAAAACACGATGATGTAAGACTTCTGAAAACACTTTAAATAGAAATAAAAAAAAAAAAAAAAAAAAAAGTATAGAGAGAGAGAGAGAGAGAGAGAGAGAGAGTTCGATCGTTCGCTTCTCTCGAGAAGCCGCGCGGAAGAAACTTCGCGCAAGTTTACACAGGAACGTGGAAGCTATTTGCTCCGCGAAAGTTTGCTACAATTTTTCTATTCGATGCCGTATCTCGGAAAGTAACGGGATAATCCAGCTGAGAGATCGAGTTATGCTAATGTTCTCTTTCGGCTGTTTACTAACTTTCGACGATTTTTATGAATTACCACATAAGACTGATATTGCAAGATGGAATTAATATTCTATGTAGAAAGAGATTTTGGGATTTTCAGAGTCGTCGCGATTCAAAAAATAAAAAATGTATGTCTTGGCTCGTTTTGTCGAATTATGTGCTCGATGTTCTCTCGGCAGTTTACTCATTTTCGTGAATCGTTTTATACAACAGTTGCAAAACAATTGATATTCCGCGTACGTAAACATTCTTCTAGACGAAGAATTTTTAGATGTTCAGTCGTTGTAACTAAGAAGAATTGACAATATACTTGGCTTGTTTTATAACGAGAGAGAAAGAGAGAGAGAGAGATTGATTACTGAGAATGAATGAAATCCGATATCTTGCGCTATATGCAACAAGCTCGCGTTAGCCGAGATGTTTACATATGACATTTGCATCGCAAAATATTTTGTAAGAATACATATAGCACAATTGCGGTTTCTGGCTATCTCTTGTCACAGTCGTTAATTTCTCTAATAGCACATAACAGAAGAAAAGTGTTTCTTGCTCAAGAGATTCTGTTGCGGCGATTCTTTAACAATGTATTATTTTCTCAAGTCGGTATCTCTCTCTCTCTCTGTCTCTGATATAGAAAAAGAAAAAAAAACAAGCCACGTAATTTTCACGCTATCGACTGACAAGTAGCGCATAACGCTCTTCGAACGCGAACCGCGTACACATACCGCCAATGCCAACGTATAACTTTCAGCAGACGTACACGCTTATTGTCAATCGTGCTTCAACAAGTGTTTCTGCACGAGATGCAAACAATTTGATAATGACGTTATCGGCCAAGTGGCGGGGTTTGTCGTGTGCGATCGTACGCTTGTCGTGGCGAATTTTTCGCGGAAAGACGCGACAACGTGTTAACGCGTTAATTAACTCGCGGAAGAAAGAAATTTAATACACAAAGCTTCGAATCGATAATCGTTGCCGCGTCGTTCGCGTGTGAAATTTTCACTCTTGAGAATTTTCAAGAAACAGAATTTTTTGTCTCAATAAAAAGAAACTAAAACAATCTCGTTAATATAACAATTGAAAAGAGTGCGAAGACATATCTTCGGCTTGTTTCGCATCTCTCACTAGCGCACCAGCAATTTAACTCGCGTGTTACACCCAACATCTTTTCTCGAAAACCTGACGAAAGCCATACGCGTCCGAGTATATATGTATATATATATATATATATATATATATATGTACATATTTTATGTTTTTCGAAAGTCTCTCTGGACCTCCGCGACTTTGGCCGAGGAGATATTTTCGTGACTTTCGCGCGAAGCGCATGGCAATCAGCCAGTGCTGAACGCACACGCCGGATGTGCACGATCGAAATCCGATGACGACAATAATTTCGACGAGAACTTTGTCCCTTAAGGGCAGACAAGGGCGACCGAGGAATACACGCGCGTGCGTACGTTCTTCCCCGCGCACCGCGGGGTGTCTACGCACTTCACGTGTGAGCTCTTAAGCCAGTGCCTCTCAAACGTGGAGATTTATGGATTTTATTCCCTTAATGTCTCGCGAAATGATTGTCTAACAAGATACATTTGTTTTTTTTTTACAAATTATTGCCATTCTGATTCTAAAAGCGAATTGAATTTACTACCGCGCGTTGAACGAACACGCTTCTAGATAAACAATGTTTCGCGATTAGCGCGAGTACAGGTCGAAAGAGTTCATCGAAATTTTCGCGATCGAGGAGAGAGAATCCCGATTGTGCCTCCGCCGCGCGCCGTATGCTTCCACCGGCTTTACCAGCCAGCCGGTATGCGCGGCCATTGTTTCTACCCTCCGCCGGGCCTCTTATTACGCGAAGGGTTGAAACCGCTTCTGCCGGCATCAATATTGGCCGACACTGCACTTTCACCGTGGCAAACGTTTAGAACAAATACGGCAAAATGAGAGGTAGCAAGTTCGATCAATTCGTGCATGGTTTGACTTACTGAAAAATGTCTGCTTCAAGTTTGCGGGAAACGCGGGAAAAGTAGTAGTCAGAAATTCACACTTCACATCAGCACTTTTCACTTTTGACAAATTGTTGGAACAATTTTACTTTGGAGACACTCACACACACACATACACACACACACGTAAAGTTGTCCTTGGGAGAAAACGCTCGATAACGACGTTGCTCGATACAAACGTGATTTGGTCTACGAAATATTTTATTTATTTATTTACATTGGAGAATAACCTTCTAGACATAAAAATAAGAAACGAATATTTAAGAAGACTTTGAAGAAAAAATTGTTTCTCGATGTTTGTGGATGCCTGAGGTTTTTGACCATGTGAAGTATATAGGAGCTAGAATTTTATCTAGGCTAGAATACAAGATAGCAAAGGAAGTGAGGACGATGCGCGTGTGTGTGCGTAGCAACACACAACAATCTGACCATATAGCGCGCTGCACCGGTTTTCTGTTGCAGCTGCCCGGTTTTAGGGGATCTCTCGAACAGGAATAAGGAACGGTTGTGCCGCCTAAGTACTAGTAGGAGAGAGTGGGGAGGAAAAGGGACGACGAGGAGAGTAGGCGGGGGTTGTTGCAAAGGGGTCCTTCTCTGGTAGGGCCCCTGGCAGTACACAATGCGCCTGAGTAAGAAACAGAGAATTCAGAGACGGCGAGGCAAAGAGAGGGGAGAGAAAGAAGGGCCCTCTCTCTCTCTCTCTCTCTCTCTTTCACCATCGGCACCGAGCAAGTTATAGACTTGAAAGACGCGACGCACACTAAAATATGCCCTACTACCTGACGGTCTTTCGACCGTTTTCGTTCTCTTCACTTCACAAATCTGGTTCCTTTTTTAAAAAGAAGTAAGAGAGAGAGAGATATATATATATATAGACAGAGGTCAGGGTTCCATCTCGTTTTCTTCTTCCTCAGTGTGGAATAAACCACTTACTTTGTGTTGTACTATCGGACGCGTCGACGAACATCGAAGCAGAATTTTTCCGTCGGCATATGAAGTCGATTTTCTACACGAAAGATAGTTTTTTTTTCTTTTTTAATCTGTTCCTTTGTGCTCAAAGAGAGTTATCAATTCGTGCGACGGTATGGAAAGAGAAAAGGTAGACAAAAATAAGACGTACATCGAGCGAAACTGGAAGACTTGATCGTCCCTCGTTCGCTCTTGCGACGCGTACGCAACTACAGGAAGCCGCAGACTGTACATCCGCGCGTGCGTGCCACGTTGCATCATCGTATCGCACGGTATTTTTTTCCAGATATTTAATGCATTGCATTATTTATTTTCATCGATGTGTTATTTTAATGTTGATTTTATCGCGAAACTCGCGATCTCTCGCACATGCAAGAGAACAATTATTTCGAACGCGTTGCGTCTTACACCCCCGATTTCTGTATTTGCTGCAACTAACTTGCTCCTACAAATACATCGAATCTCGGTTATTTGAAGAGAAATCATACGTTGCCGTGAAAAGTAATTTCTTTCTCGAGAAAATCTCTTTAATACCGCGTATATATTTCTCGAATCTAATTGATTAGATATGAATCGGTTGCTTGTTAGTTGCATTCAGAACTCGAAATGGAAGTTAATGTGATTTCACATTTGGCTGTACAATGCGTATTTTCTCAAGTTCTGCTTAGCGCCCAAGTGGCACCGTCTGCCTTTTGTACAAGGATATCCGTGTGTGTCTATTTCACTCAATTACGATTCCCTTTCACTGACTAGCGCGAGCGAGCTGCGCGCTTAACAAAATTCCTCAGCGGTATCATCTTTCGTTGTTTTTCCCTCGTTGAGAGGATCGACATTGTGGCATCGCCGATGCGACACACTCAACCAAACGCATCGTTACAGCGCGCTCGATTTGCTTACGCGCGCTAAAATGGCAATTGTCACGAAATTCACACGCACGCACGCACGCACGCACACACACACACACACACACCTACGCGAGGAGAAAGTGCGGGTAGGTCTTCAACCCTCGCGAGGGTTGAGGATCTGATTTTTTCAACGCAACTTTCTAAATCGCACACGTGCGACCCCTTTAATTAGAAGACGTAGCTGAGTTAGACAGCGACGCGGTATACAAATTAATTCTTCCGTAACAAACATGCCGCGAGAGCACAATGTAGACCGTCATTAATGACTGTACTCGATTTCAGCGAAGCTTTTTAATACGTTGTGTGACGTAATTTGACATTTACACGTTCCTCACGCTGTTCTCGCGAGGATGTAAATGTTAATAAGTTTGGACAATGAGAAAAAAAACGTGCTAGGAGTGCTTACCACTCTATTTCACGTAAACGAAATGAAAGAAAATCCTCTCCGAGTGTGCGTACTTCAATCATCGTTTTCGCGTAGGAGAAAGAAACACCGTTTAAATCTGGCGTAAAGACAAAAATATATACGTATCGATTTCATTCAAAATATTTTCTTCTCTTTAAAACGAGCACACGTATCACGTGTGAAAGTTTTATAAGGAAGCTTTACGCTTGCGGACAGCAGTCAGTTTTTGTTCTCAGTAACAACGTAATTAAGATTTCACAATGGGAACACTTGGAACTTCGTGTTTGGAGTTTATTTTAAGTCGTCGTTCTATATTTTTCTTGTAAAAATAAAATATATTTTTCGTGCAAAAATAAAATACAATTTCTTCGGAAATTGCAATTCAATTAGAGAACGTGACGGCAACTCCGATGGTTTCTTTAAATCACACAGACTCTCCTCTATTTTTCGTATCTACTTTGATTTCTGTAAATTTGTCTTTTTGGTTGGTTTTAATTGTAAAATTTTTCTCTGATTTTTCTCACAGAATAGACGGTTTAAATGCTGGACGGCTCGAGGTGTAATTAACGTTGATCGAGTATCAAAGAAAGTGTCAAGATTGAGCAAGTCGTTCTTCCGTCCGGCGGTGAACTCGCCAAATTTTGGAGGATGTTGATGCCGGGTGCGGCGGGTCTCGGGACGGTGGGCGCCGTGGGTGCGATGAGTCCCCCAGCGCCTGAAGAGTTGGTGCAAGGACTGGGAGCCTTGGCCGGAACGACGCCGCAGCAAAAAGACACGACATGGACGAAGCTCTTTGTCGGCGGTTTGCCGTATCACACGACCGATAAGAGTCTTCGGGAACACTTCAACGTTTACGGTGATATCGAGGAGGCAGTCGTAATTACAGATCGGCAGACTGGCAAAAGTCGAGGTTACGGCTTTGTAAGTAATTGCAACTGATTAAACAATTACATTTTCCGTATCGTTTTAAAAAAATCTTCGATCAAAACCTATGACTACAGTACTACTTTGTCGTACTTTTCATCTAAAATATATGAGAAATAAATGAAGTTTTCCTGAATGTAGAAAAACAAATATACAAAATATATTTAAGAAGAAACGCGCACTTTATGTAGTTTTGACGGAAGGAAATTGATTTTTATCTACGCAGGTGATTATGGGGGACAGACCTGCTGCGGAAAGAGCATGCAAAGACCCAAATCCAATCATCGACGGACGCAAAGCGAACGTTAATCTGGCCATTCTCGGAGCTAAACCCCGGGGTAATTTACAAACAAGTAAGTCTTAATTGTTAATTGTTTTTTTAGATCAAAAAGAAAAGATAGATCTAACTACAGAAATGGATGTTATGTAAGTGAATGGCGATCGATATTAAGATACCGAGGTTTTAATAAAAGCGTTCGATTTTTGCTTCGTTCGTGCACTTCGATTGCACATCTATCGAGGTTAAAGATGAACGAGAGAAACGGATTAAAGAGTCGTCCGAAAAATCGTCAGCACCCTACATCTTAAAATATCGCACTTTTCTCATCGTTTATTTGATCATTACACGCGAGAGTTATAAATTCGAGCGTCTTCTAAACGCGAGATTAAGAATCACGATTACGTTAATTTCGCCTACTGCGCTTTCCGTTTTATTTTCATAAGTTTCGTAGTGTTCGCGGCGTCATAGCTGGTCACGGGTTTTACGTTGTTGACACACTGCCAGATACCTAAAAACTCATTCGTCGCAATAATGCAATGCTCGTGTAATTTTGAAAGAGCGACACGTAGAATAACAAGTTTTGCCATGTCATTTGGAGACACGTTTTTATCGACAAATATATTCTCTCTTGATAAAAAAAAAACGTTGAATAAAGTCGATATATCAGACTATCGTTTGCTTGAATATTTTAATGACAAGTGCTACTCATTTTTATTACCAGTCTATATGCTGATCATTATTCACCATTCATCACTATTCATCTATACTGATTGATTTGTGTTTGCTTCGCGTAGCAAAGTCTGCTATTAAATGCAGTTTTAACAGTTTGCGGTGTCAGAGATATCGATAAAAATAATAGCGCGCGTTACAATTGTTTTTTACATCAAAAAAAAACCTTTACACATAAATATGCACGTGAGATAGAACGACTATCAGCCAAAAAGTAAAGCGTTTCCTGAGTCAAACGTGGCTCTCAGTGGCTTTCGGGCCAACATAGCTTGGAGATTCGAGACCTGTGCTAAAATTGCCGGCCAAAAGTGCCGCACTCGACTAGCTTTCCTTTTGTTTAAGCAGGAATTGTTTTCAATTTAATACCAAACAAGACGAGAAAGAAAAGAAAAAAGAGAGAGAGAGAGAAATAGAATTGTGTTTCTTTTTATAACAAAAAAAGATTTTACAATAAAACAAGAGTTCAAATTTCACGTGCGCATATTTTAATGCGTAATTCAAAAGCAAAACTTAAACGGTCAATATAATATACACGGATGTAATATCAACATACTACTAGGAATATTATTGTTTTTTTTTTGTACGTATGTACATCGCGTGGTGTAAAAATAAAACATATTCTCGATAGGGCAAACCTGATACATTTGGTTGCGTGGCTATTTCAAGTTTATTGCGCGCCGTAATGCATTTTCAGATAGCGAGCATGCCATCGGTACATCAGTTCGTTACGTATGCGCATTCTTTGTTTCTATTCACATGTGTGCCCTTTGACATCGCTGCGCGCGGCTACGTGAAAATGTAACGTAATAATTATTAAACGATCGTCTCGTAATGGTCGAGTAGGAATTGTAACCAGTACGAATGTTTGCGTATCGATCGATCGCGAGTTCTTTCTAGCCAGCTATTTGCTCATTAACGAAACAAAACAGAAATTATCACGATGAGAAATGTGCGAATTTTCGGTTATTTCTTCGAGAGAAAAAGACAGATGACACACTTGCTATTTTCGTAATGTTAATTTCGTATTACACCGTGTATATTGATTCTGCAGAATTTAACTGAAACTCTGACGTTATATTGATTCATAGTAATAATGAATAAAATATTGTACTAAAAGATGTAACACGTGACACAGATTTCTAACTGAAAAATTATGAATTATTCGAACCGCATTGGTTTGTTATCGTTTAAATTGATCTCGATAAATATTTCACGCGCAATTGGATGTACAATGACTTTTCGCTATTTTGCATAATACAATAAAGTAGTAGTTCTCTTTTCTCTCGCTTTCGTCTATTATAAGAACAAAATTCCCAACTTATCGCATACGTTCTTCATAAATGTTATCTCTCTGATTTACGTTTACAGATAAAATAGATTTAGATACAAGATACTATATCTACTTCAAGATAATTGAAATTTTTTTTTAGCAATAAAGATAACAAAAATAAAAAAGATGAGCGTGTGTAAAATTTATGCTTGATGATTTTAGCATTCCCGTTCACTGCAGGCATCCGGGCTGGTTATCCAGCGGTGCTTCCTGGACAATATGGGTGAGTCTACATTTATGTGCTTTGTCACGGGATATTAAGATACATGTCGTAACTGTAGTTAGTTCAAGAAAACTGACCTACACGTCAGGAAGAGAAGTTCCTCGCGATTGCTCGTTAGCCTCTGGCTTACGAAACCAAATTCTCTCGCTGCAAGTCGACGAAATCGCGATTATTTTTTTTTTCTTTGCCGTATCAGGATCGTCGTATTATCGCGCGCGCAAAGCAAACAAAAATTTTGTTCTAAATTAATCGCACAGCGGTGTTATATTGTGTGCGACGAGATTTTTTCTTTCTGTAACTTTGCGAACACACAAAGTTGCCGAAAGAAGTTCGGTTCTCTGTTCTTGCAGCGAGCAATATAACCGAATCAATCGTTTGTCGCGCGAGATTTTTCCGAAAATACACGAGGGGATGCGACGAGAAATTAATCGATAACGCGAGAAAGAATCGATAGCGCGACGTTTAAAAAAACCCAAAAAAAAAAAAAAAAAAAAAGTAAAAGGTACTCGCTTTAACGGAGTCGCACGGTCGAATAATTTTTGTACGAGCCTGTTTTAAAGACGCCATATATGTATATAACGTTTCAGCATCCTGACGCGCGCGCGTAAGGAGACGGGCAGAGAGTCCTTTCTCCGAGATCCTTGAGAGGGCCAAGAGCCGTTCTAAGGACCCCATAATAATGTGAAAGAGAGACAAAGACACGAAAAAGAAAGAAAAAAAAGAAAGAGAGAGAGGGAGAAAAAAAAGGGAAATGTATTAGTGATCGGTGAAAGAGAGAGAGAGAGAGAGAAAGGGAATGAGAGAGAGAAAGCGGCACACGCACACGAATCAGAAATCTACACGTATGAGTACCTACGAATTTCTTTCCAATGAAGTAGTGAAGATCTTCCGGGAGAATCGGCCTGTTCTTCTTCTCCTAATGTACTCTTTTGTTGATTGTGGTTTTTTTTGTTACTTTCTTGGTGAAACTTGACGTTGAAGTGATGACAATGATTGCGGTTGCTGAGAGATTTGCGATTGTTTGTTATTGGTTTTCACTTTTTTTTGTTTAATTTTACGTCTCTTCACTCTCTTCACACAATCTTTTTCTTTAATCAGCATAATATTAATAATGTCGATTGTAGTGATAAGTAATCGCGCACAGTAGCGATAGCCGGTTACCTCTTCGATTCGACAGTGTATCGTTTGACGGAACGCAACATAGTTTCGTATCAAGTAAAATGTTTCTCGATGATGTTATACTTCGATCTGATCTTCTTTTCATAAAAAATCTCAGAAAAAATATCAGAGACTATCACTGGTGAAATTATTATCTCAAAATTGTGTTTTAAACAAAACTTAGATAACGTAAAAAAATATAAAACTTTCGGAGCACAAATTTCAAAATACCGAGAACTTGCACAAGTTTTTCGAAATAAATAAAAACTATTAATTTTATAATTTATAATACACTACTACTTGGTTAATTAAATTGTGATGTTGAGTCTTTCTTGATTGATCGACGGTTTCTAATCAATAATTCATGATCGGAGATCAGCGAGCGGACGTTTTGTTCGTTTCTCTTTTTTTTCTCATCGGTGAGCTACGGTGAGCGCTTTTTTATTTTATGTCTAATGTTTATTAGAGTAGAGGAAAGTTCTTTTACTGTATTTTTATACACGTATAACGTATTTTTGAAAGACGTGTGTGTTTTGACAATTTGTTTACTTTTCTTAATTTTTTTATGCGCACATTAAACACCGTTTATCATTTCTATTTTGGTTTGCTTTGGTGGCGGGAATATTAAAAACAAAGCAAAGCATAAGTAAAAATGTAAAAATTAAAAATTGTTGAATTGTGCAGTGCTTCTTCTTGTGTTGAATTACTTTCAGTCGAAACGAATGAGGTACTTGATTAGAATAGGACTTGATTAGACTTTAACCAATTTTTTTTCTGGCAAAGAGCCTGACTTCCGCACGTATCTCTCGTCGAGAATTGAAGGAAACAACGTGATATGTGAACATAAACAGCAGAGAAAGACTTATATATATATATAAATTTAGAACTAGTTAGAAGATACCGTTAAATTAATGCAAACCAAGGAAGAAGCGTATCTGATCCATTCCGATCTGCTGGGAAACCGTCCGCGGCGGGGCCATTGCTTATAAATATTTAGTCTCTCGAGGTACGTAGACCGTGCAGACTTCTCGCGTTCGCTCGCCTAAAATTCCGTTTTCGCGATTTCGCGAGAAACGGAATTGTGGCGGCCGAACGCGCACGACAGCCTCGAAGATGAAGTAACGTTTCTCATCTCGGAGGGTTGTTGTCCGACGAGTTCGAAATTCAACAACTTGAACAAAAGAAGAATGTGCAACTTTGCGCGAACTCTCTGCGGAATTCTCTTCTTTCGAACTCTTTGCCGGAAATCGACCGACACCGAGACACGAACGATATTAATTTTTGATCGCTTGACGATCGATCCTATCGCGGTTTCACGTCGTTTGGCTCGGCGAGTGTTTTCAACGGCGCACGAAAATTTTATCCGAAATACGAGAACAATTTTTCCGAAAACACACGCGAATAATTTAGCTCGTTCTTAATCGTCTTTTAAATGTGTTTTCCCTATTGCGTGTGGGGAATTGTTGATTCTAGTTCTAAAAACCATAAGCGCGTTTAAACGAGAAACAAGAAATACATCGAACTGCGAAATTTAACATAATTTAACATCGTAAAAAAGATGTACGCGACGTTCGAACTAGAAAAATCGAGAGAAAAACGGACGAAAAATTGCAAAATTTACTTCTGCAAATCCGACACCGCCGAGAGAGTCGAGACAGAGGATAAGATGCACGAGATACGCTTCTCCTTGGAATGCAATGTGTTGTTGCGTAGATTCAAAGTGTCCCGTCGCGGAAATACGAACGCCCGTCGAGACTGTATAGGATATTCTCTAACCACTATAATATTAATAACCTTGTGTGTGTGAAAAAAAAGGCTTACACTACACTTGGTGTCGCTATTGGTGTTGTATTTTTTGGTGTTGTACGTGGGTGATTTTTTTCTTTTTGGACTTTCAAATAACACGGTGTAGCTCTCTCTGTCGTGACATATAATGGAACACATGGTGCAATCGT